CCTAGACCTGCCGGGCTCAGGTGATCCTTCTGCTTTAGCCTCCCAATTAACTGGGATTACAGGCACATACCACCACACCTGGCTAGTTATTTGATTTTTTTGTAGAGACGAGATCTCACCAAGCTGCCCAGGCTGGTCTCGAACTCCTGGTCTCAAAGACCTGCCTCAGCCTCCCAAATGGCAGGACGATGGGCACGAGCCACCATACCCGGCAGTACCTTCTCTATTTGATAATGTAATAATGCAGTGTTGTAGTCTTCAAGTTTAGAGGTATCCACTAATTTGCTTGGCCTTCCTGAAGGTCGGCTCTTCCTATCTTGCTTTTTAACAATGTTTTGCTGGCGTGTGCACCCATGTGCCACATTACCTTGGGCCACCACTCTGCCTTGTTATGACTTTTCTGCATTAGAAGGAAGTGAAGGGTGGGTGGCCTCTGTCTCTGATTTCAGTCCCTTTCATCTGGCTTTCTCCAGGACATTGGTTTGGTTGATTGATGGATTGGAGTTGAGGACTCACTCTGTTACCCAGGCTGGAGGGCAGTGGCACGGTCATGGCTCACCACAACCGTGACTCCCTGGGCTCAGGCCATCTTCCTACTTCAGCCTCCCAGGCAGCTAAGACAAACTGCACACCCCCACCCTGGTTAATTTTCTGGTGTTTTGTAGAGACGAGGTCTCACTGTATTGCCCAGGCTGGTCTCAAACTCTTAGTCCTGAACACCTCCAGTGATCTTCTCTCCTAAGCCTCCCGAGGTGCTGAGATTACAAGCATGAGCCATCGCGCCCGGCCCAGTCTCTTAGTCATAAGTGGACTTTGTGAGAAGACTTGGTCTTCCAGGGGTTCGGACATGTCCTCCCCTTTACAACAAGCCATGGACTGATGGGAGGCTTGCCAGGAGAGCCTTCTTCTTTAAACTGGGGGGTGTGTCGTGTTCTCATTCATAAGCAAACCTTGAACAATTATCGTAATGCTATAAGAAAAGGACTGGCAGTAGCAGAAAACCGCTGGGCAGGGTGGGGGTGGCACGGGATTGGCAGCAGTAAGGATCTGCTGGGGGAGGGAGGGGCACATCTCATCAACAAGGGTAACTGTATAATGAATGTTTGTTTGTACATCTAACCTTGAATGGTACTCCACATTTTTAAAATGAAAAAAGGAAAACAAAATTTTTTTTAATTTAAAAAATTAAAAAAAGGAAGAAAGAGACAGAAAAAGGGCGGGGGGGAGTGGCTTCCCGCTGACCCTTGTGTCTGCCCTCTGGTCTTCTCTCTAGCCGCTCATGTTTCCCACCTGGAGAATGTGTCTGAGGAAGAAATGAACAGACTCCTGGGTATCGTCCTGGATGTGGAGTATCTCTTCACCTGTGTCCATAAGGAAGAAGATGCCGACACCAAGCAAGTCTATTTTTATCTGTTCAAGGTGAGATTTCCACTGTTTAAAAGGCCTGCTTGTTCTTCGTGTGTGTGTGTGTGTGTGTGTGTGTGTGTGTGTGAGAGAGAGAGAGAGAGAGAGAGAGAGAGAGAGTGAGTCAGGGTCTCACTGTCTCCCAGGCTGGCGTGCAGTGGTACCATCATGGCTCACCACAGCCTCGACCTCCTGGGCTCAGGCGCTCCTTCTGCCTCAGCCTCCCGAGTAGCTGGGACTATAGCTGTGCATGCCACCACACCCAGGTAATTTTGTATTTTTTGTAGAGGTGGGGTCTTGCTAGGTTGCCTAGTCTGGTCTCCAACTCCTGGGCTCAGGCATTCCTCCTGCCTTGGCCTCCCAAGGTGCTGGGATGACAGGCGTGAGCTACCACGCCCGGCCATGGTTCCTCTCGTCATTAGGATGTGCTCAGGCTCCATCTGCCAGGTCATGGGTGTGAGGACTCTCGGCTCATGGCACGCTTTGCCTCAGTGCGGGGAAGTTCACGTTGCTTCACGATGGAGCCTCTAAAGTGACCTGTCACTGAACGCAACCCCTCCCTGCAAGCCTTCACACCTGTGTGCACAGCCTTGCTTTGCGTGTGATCGTGGACGCTCTCCACCCAGCGGACAGATATTCACGGCACGTCTGCTGTGTGTGTGGCACTAACGTGGGCACCAGGGATGCATCCGTGGACAAGGCAAACCCTCCCACATGAGTCCACATTTCAGCAGAAGAGACAGATGATCAGTACGTAGATGCTGCACTTGCAGGTGGTGACAGGTGCTGGGGAGAGGAACAGAGCAGGGTGAGCAGACTCAGATGGCAGGGATGGTGGCGGGTGGCGGGTGGCAGGCCGATGAGGATGGCTGGCAGGGAAGGCCTCTCTGAGGAGGTGACCAGTGAACGGAGACAGAGCCATCCAGGGAAGGGAGCCTTCCAGGCAGGGGGACAAGCCGGCGTCTGGCTGAGTGCCGAGAGAGATTGAGGTGATGTCAGGACAGCACAGAGGGCAGTGTTGGTGGAGGCCAGTGGGCAGGGGAGGGAGAGGGGAGCAGGGGGTGTGGGAAGAGGGGGTGTAGTTGGAGGGGCGGCTCCCACTTCTGTCTGTTATGCTTCCTGGAGGAGGAATTAGGACTTTCCACATTTGGCTGCGCATGCTGGGTCATGCCTGTAATCTCAGCACACTTTGGGAGGCTGAGGCAAGAGGATCACTAGAGGCTAGGAGTTTGAGATGAGCCTGGGCAACACAGTGAGACCCCATCTCTACAGAAAAATTAGCCAAGTGTGATAGTGTGCACTGTAGCCCCAGTTACTGGGAAGGCTGAGGCAGGAGGATCGTTTAAGGCCAGGAGTTCAAGGTTATGGTGAGCTGTGATTGCACTACCGCACTCCGGCCTGGGAGACAGAGCCTTCCAGATGTGTTGTGATATCTTACCCAGGGTTAGTCACCGATGGCTGCTATTGTGCCCCGTCACTGTCTCTCTGTGGCTGTACCGCAGCTCCATGGGGGTCACATCCATTCCCGTTCCCCAGCTGGGTCTCCAGGCATGTGTCACCACTCCCGGCTGATTGTCTGATTTTTTTTTTGCACAGACAAGGTCTTACTGTGTTGCCCAGGCCGTCTTAAACTCCTGGGCCCAAACGATCCTCTCGTCTTGGCCTCCCAAAGTTCTGGGTTACAGATGTGAGCCACCATGCCCGGCTAGGGGTACTAACCCTAAAAAGTTCATATGGACCAGGCTTGGTGGCTCAGCCTGTCATCCCAGCATTTTGGGAAGCCGAGGTGAGTGGATTGCCTGAGCCCGCGGGTTCAAGACCAGCCTGGGCAACTTGGCGAGACCTCATCTCTACAATAAATCAAAAATTAGCCGGGCGTGGTAGCACGCGCCTGTAGTTTCGGCTACTTGGAAGGTTGAGGCGGAAGGATCGCCGGAGCCCAGCAGGTCAACGCCGGGGTGGTCGTGAGTGTGCCACTGCACTCCAGCCTGGGCAATGGAGTGAGACTCCAACGCAAAAAAACCAACCAACCCACCAAACAAACAAACAAACAAAAAAGTTCACATGGGGGTGGGGAGAGGAGAGAACATGCACAACCGGGTTCCCCTTGCCATCAACAGACTGACTGTTCCAGGGAACTGGGTGACAGCTGGCCTTTTGGCCCGTGTCATCCAGATGGAACCCTGGCAGGTTCATGCTTCTGAGAGCTTCTTTGGAAAAAAGATCTTTGGGGAAGAAAACCAAGATCTGCACGATGGCAGCTCTTGTTTTCCTGTAGCTGAGCTTCCTGGCACCCCTGTCCCCCTTGGAAGTGAGGGGTGTCAGGGCTCCCATCCTGTCGACCTCCTCTTGGCTGAGAACCATCCAGACAGGCCAGAACAGACTCTGTGCTCTGGTCTTTCTTTCCTCCTGCTTCGTCTTTAAATACGAGGGAGATCCCCCCAAACTGGAATTAATTGACAAAAAATGGTGTGTTTATTCTTACGTGCTTAAACCTGTCGCCTTCAAAGTCCTTTCCGTATGATGCCATACACCTATTGATACGTTGTTCCAATTGCTCAAAACGGTTTTGGAACCTGTCCATTCTGATGCCTTTTAGTGCCATTTTTTGTTTCACCTGTCTCACATCAGCAAAACATTTCCTTTTGAGGATTTTTTTTTCATCTGGGGAAACAACAGCAAAAAAATTCACTTGGTGCATGAATGTGGGAACAGGGAGGGTGGGGCACAGAGGTCATGCTTTTTTGGTCAAAAACTGCTGAACGCTCAGCAAGGTCTGGGCAGGGGAGCTCTTAAATCGCCAATCAGGAAATGGGCAAACGTGTTGAAAGAAATTCACCGAAGCCGAACGCAGTCTCTCACCACGACGTTAGCTGGTACGTGGATGCCGAAGGGTTCCTAGAACACTTGCCTAGCCAGGGAAGCCTGTGTACTGCAAGGGGCCCGCCCTCTGACAGACAATTCCGGGTCTTTTGGGGTCTCCCTTATATTTGCTTGTGGGAACACAATGCAAAATATTCAGCATGCTCCCCGCTCCCACTCCCCAAAAATTATTCTTTGGGCAGATGAGCTATAAATCATTTGTTCTTTAGCTTTTGAAGGACACTTCTTGTGTCTCATGTGTCAAAAATTAAAAATAAAAACATGCTACCTACTTGAAGAGAAACCGAGCGGAAAGCGGCTTTCCAAAGCTGAGGTCTGTCTTGGTGCCGATGCACGTGACTCAAGCCCAGCAACCTGGGTTAAAACCTGGGCTCCCAGCTGGCAGCTTTCACGGAGGTGGCCTTTCCTGGTTCCCTTCTGTCCATAGAGTATAGGTTAAGGGAGCAGACATCTCAGTGTCTGTAAGGCAAAAACTGCCAAATGTGACCTTGGGCAAGCTGTTCTGCCTTGGTTTTCTCACCCGTAAAGAAATCACAGATGAGAGCAGCCCTGACCGCAGAAGGTTGGTATGAGTTTTTTTTTTTTTTTTTTTTTTAAGTTGGAGTCTCACTCTGTTGCCCAGATTGGAGTGCAGTGGCCGCTCCCGGCCACTGCAGCCTTGACCCGCTGGGCGCCGGCGATCCTTCCTCCTCAGCCTTCCAAGTAGCTGGAATTACAGGCATGCACTACCATGCCTGGCTGAGTTTTTGATTTATTGTAGAGAGGAGGTCTCGCTGCCCAGGCGGGTCTCGAACCCGTGGGCTCAGGCAATCCACTCACTTCAGCCTCCCAAAGGTGTGGGATTACAGGCTGAGCCACCGAGCCCGGCTTTTCTTTTGATTTTATTGTGGAGATGAGGTCTCGCCAAGTTGCCCAGGCTGGTCTCAAACCCGTGGGTTCAGGCAATCCTCTCATCTCGGCCTCCCAAAGTGCTGAGATTATAGGCGTGAGTCACCATGCCTGGCCAGTATGAGTATTAATGAGATAATACACACAAGAACTTGAAGAGTGTCTGGCAAAAGCATGGAGGCAGATGCTTGCTGCTACTGATGCATTTTTTAATACACCTACATAATCCAGCTCCATCATCCTGTAGATGAAGAAACTGAGATTCACCTATCTCCCCAATCTGTTTACCTCCACATTGAAACCTTCCATGGGGCCAGGCATGCCAGGCACGGCGGCGGGGAGCGGGGGGGGGAGCCGAGGCAAAGAATTGTTTGAGCCAGGAGTTTGAGACCAGCCTGGGCACTATAGCAAGATCTCGTGTCCTCCAAAAGCAAAAAACAAAAGCCAGGCATTTTGACTCACGCCTGTAGTCCCAGCTACTCAGGAGGCTGAAGAGGGAGGATCGCCTGAGTCTAGGAGGTCGAGACTGTGGTGAGCTGTAATCGTGCCACTGCTCTCCAGGCTGGGAGTGAGACCTGGACTCAAAAAATTTTTTTTAAAAAGTAGGCAACCAGAATTATTTGTATTAAAATTTTATGGTCCATTTTTATTATTCTTAGAGGCATACACCATGACTTATCATTATTGGCATTTTACTTTTATAAAGGTGGGCCTGGGACACTGAATGGACAACAAATGTCCTCTGCTCATAAACTCTGTGGTACCCTGGGAGGAGATGAGGTCTTTGAAGCCACACAGTCACCTTCAGCCTCAGGGGTCACCCCTTCCCTCAGCTCCTGAGAGAGTGGTCACCGTGTTTTATTTCTGTCGAAAAGGCAGAAAGTGGAGGGAAATGAAAAGTTGTCACTTAAATAGATGCATGACCATGGCATAACTGGTCCACACGTAAAAGTCACAGCTGATTCAGGCCAAGGCTGAAGGCGAAGAATTTTAATATCAGGGTGCTCTGGCTCGTGCCTGTAATCCCAGCACTTTGGGAGGCTAAGGCGGGAGGATCTCTTGAGCCTAGGAGTTAGACACCAACCCAGGCAACATAGCAAGAACTCGTCTGTGCAATAAATTTTTAAATATCGCCAGGTGTGGTGATTCACACCTGTAGTCTCAACTACTCAGGAGGCTGAGGTGGGAGGATTGCCTGAACCCAAGAGGTTGAGGCTGCAGTGATCTGTGCTCATGCAACTGCCCTCTATCCTGGGCAACAGAGTGAGATCCCCAACTCAAAAAAAAAAAAAGAGAATTTTGCTATCAAATATAATTTCAGCTTTGTTCTCGGAAAGTGGCTGTGTTCTCTGTTCTCCTGTTTGCTCGTTGAAGGGTTTCACATCCCAGCGGTGGGAGTTCTGAGCAGGGTTTTCGTTCTGTGGGCAGTGAGATGCCAAGCCCTGGGCCTGCACTCTGTGAATGGAAGGGAAGTGAGAGGCAGCTCGGCAGTGCGTGGTGCCAGCTGAGAACTGACCGACTTCCTGAGCGCCCGGCCCTGGGCATATGTGTGACGCTCACCTGCTCTCCCCAGCACCTGTGCTCAGGCCGCATGTGACCCTTCAGGCTTCTGACTAAGGCTCTCTGGGGCTTGAGCACACCTGCAGCAGCCTGCAGGTCTGTGTCATACATGCAGGGTTAGACCCCAGGCTTCTGGCCAGTGGAAACCCAGTCACCAGGGCCTGGTGGTCACTTCTGGGTGGTCCAGGCTGCCCAGAACAGGAATGGTGGAGCCCCGTGGCTTCAGTCTTGGGCATGAAGGTATATTTGGGTTCCCTGAAAGTTGCCTCCTTTATTGACTGAAGGACTTGTTTACATATAGTTAAGAGCAATAAGGCATGGTGACTCCCTTAAAGGCTCTGTGTGTGTGTGTGTGTGTGTGTGTGTGTGTGTGTGTGTATGTATGTATGTATGTATAAATGAGAGAGAGAAACAGGGACAGAGACAGAGACGTGCATCGATTAAGCTTTTTGTTTTCATGATTTCTTTGCAGCTCTTGAGAAAGTCTATTTTGCAAAGAGGAAAACCTGTGGTTGAAGGCTCTTTGGAGAAGAAGCCTCCATTTGAAAAACCTAGTATTGAACAGGTAAAAAGAAGCCTTCTGCGATTCGCTTCTGGCTGAAGAAAGATGCTCACCGAGCCCGTGGAAATTGTCCCAACCTTTGGGGCAGAAGGACCCACCTAATTTAGTAAATGGTCTAGCTTTTGTCTTTAGCCTTGTTGTATACTCAGAATTCACTGTGTGTTTGGGGAAGAAAGAGATTAAGCAGCCCTTGTAGTTTGTAAGGACACGCGAAATGTCCTTTTCCTTGATGAAGTTCTTCAATTCCGTCTTTGTCCTTTTGTGTGGCACTGCCTGAGAAAGCCCACCAAGGCGGGGAATTCAGTGGCAATGGGAAAAAATCGTAAGCCAAGCAAAAAAGAGATGAGATTTGTACCCAGAAATGGGCTTCCGGCTACATGATGATTCCTGGAGACCTGTGGCAAGGGCTGGATGCTTTCTGGGAGGTGTGGTCAGCGTCTTTTTTCGGTGTAGCTTTTTTATCCCTTCACTGTTTGGCTAAACAAAAACCCTCTGGATGGACTTTCTTGGTGTAGACTTGGTGAGAATGACTGCAGAAGGCAGGAGACCAGAGACCTGACAAATATTTGTATTTTTATCAATTTCAGTAGAACACATTTTATTATGCCTCCAAACTCTAATAACGCATTGCTCTTTTTTTTTTGAGTTGGAGTCTCACTCTGTCGCCCAGGCTGGAGTGCAGTGGCACGCTCCCGGCCACCGAAGCCTCGACCTGCCGAGCTTAGGTGGTCAGCTGCGTGCCACCACTCCCAGCTAATTCTTCGATTTGTTGTAGAGACGAGGTCTCGCCAAGTTGCCCAGGCTGGTCTCGAACCCCTGGGCTGAGGCAATCCTCTCGCCTCGGCCTCCTAATGCACTTGGATGACAGGCTTGTGCCACCGTGCCCGGTCTAAGGACACATTGTTCTTTTACTTGAATTCGAATTCTGTAGAAATCTTAAATGGATTCATAGCTTCTAAAAAGCACATCGTTTTGAATAATATTTTTTTTTTGGTGATATCAAAAGAGTGCTAGCGAAGGGTTTGCATTTTAGTGACTTAGTTCAGTGGAAGGCGTGCTAGCGGCAGTTTGCTAAACATTTTTGTGATGTAAAAACATAATATGGATCCAAGGACCGCATTCTGTGCAAGCTCCTGGGCTGATTGTGAAGAGAAGAGCTGTGGACAAGTTCCGTGTTGTTGTTTGTGGGCTTTGACCTTCTCAGCCTGTGGTTTTGGTTTTCTATTCATTGCTCTGGCCTGGCAGCAGGCGTAGACTCGCAACCCACAGCCTCTCTGTCTTTGTCACATTTCTTTTTTTTTTTTGTGTTGGAATCTCACTCCACACCCAGGCTGGAGTGCAGTGACACGCTCCTGGCCACCGCAGCTTGACCTTGCTGGGCTCTGGCGATCCTTCCGCCTCAGCCTTCCAAGTAGCTGGAACTTTAGGCGTGCACTACCATGCCTGGCTAATTTTTTGATATATTGTAGAGACAAGATCTCACCAAGTTGCCCAAGCTGGTCTCGAACCCCTGGGCTCAGGCAATCCTCTCACCTTGGCCTCCCAAAGTGCTGAGATGACAAGCCTGAGCCACGGCTTTGTCACATTTCACCTGCCACGATCCGAGGCGAGATGCCCCCTGGGTACTGCTGTTTGCTTTTAGGGACTAGGGAGAGACTTGGGGGAATGGAGAAATGTCTGTTCTTTGGTGGATTCCCACTGTGGGTGCTGGCAGGGTGGGCGTTGAGCATCTCAGGAGGAGTAAGTGGCTTTCCCTCCTTTCAGGGTGTGAACAACTTTGTGCAGTACAAATTTAGTCACCTGCCCTCCAAAGAAAGGCAAACGATCGTCGAACTGGCAAAAATGTTCCTCAATCGCATCAACTACTGGCCTCTGGAGGCACCATCCCAGAGGAGACTGCGGCTGCCCAATGATGACATTTCGGGATACAAGGAAAACTACACAAGGTAATGGGATGGGAAGACCAGCTCCTCTGGCTCAAAGAGTGGGTCACAGACACCGGGTCGCCCCTGGACACCGGGAGTAGAGGGTTGTCCTGTAGCACGATGGCTCCATCGATTCAGGGAAAGTCTTTAAAATTTAACTTACAGGCTGGGCGTGCTGGCTCACGCCTGTAATCTCAGCACTTTGGGAGGCCGAGGTGGGAGGCTCTCTTGAGTCCAGGAGTTTGAGACCAGCCTGGGCAACATAGCAAGATCTCGTCTCTACAAAAATAAAAAAAATAAAAAAAAACTAGCCACATCTGGTGGTGCACACCTGTAGCCCCAGCTACTTGGAAGGCTGAGGCAAGAGGATGGCCTGAGCCCAGGAGGCTGAGGCTGCCGTGAGCTGGGATCGTACCACTATACTCCAGCCTGGGTGATAGAGTGAGACCCCTCCAACTCAAAATAAAAATGTAACCTACAAATGCCTACTTTTCATGAATTTCCTCCTGCTTTGGGAAGTGAGGGATCAACTCATCTAGACCCACGTCCAGCTGGATATCACGTCACGTGTGGCTTCCAAGTACTTGATACGTGGCTTAGTTGGAATCGAGAGTTCTAAGATGGTACAAAAGAAAATCTAGAATAGTTCACATGATTTTTAAAAACTGATTACATGTAGAAATGATAGCATGTTCGGTATATTGGATTAAATAGGAAAATATATTGAAGTTAATTTCACCTGTTACTTTTTTGCCTTTTCAATGTGGCCACTACAGCATTTACAATACATTTGCAGCTTGTGTTGTGTGTCTGTGACTATCACTGACTGCACATCTGTGATGCTGAGATTCATACATACACTCAAAAAAAAAAATGCAATGGCAGTTCAAGAACTTTTTTAAAGCAGAAAGATCAGCTTAGTTCCAGCACCATGATAGAATTGACATCTTTATACATACATGTTACCTTATAGCTTTTGTCATTTGTGTGTGTGTGTGTGTGTATGTGTGTTTGTTTTTTGAGGCAGGGTTTCACTCTGTTGCCATGATGATACCACTACACTCCAGCCTGGGCAACAGAGTGAGACCCTGACTGGATAATGAAAAGGAAAACATGAGCCATACAAAATCTGCCGGCCCACGTCAATTTTCATGTCAGAGTGCGACTTGGACTGTCTACTATATATACCCTTTTGAGACATTTTCCCCCTATACACCTGGGAGGCATACCAAGTTTGCTTCAGGGGATATCGTGGAGCCTCAGCATGTATTTTTTTTTGCCAGATTTGAAGTTGGCAGTGTCTCTTGATACCTGTGAAGGCCTTTCATGCACAGGTGACTTTCTGTAACAGCAGACCACAAAAGTGTCATTTCTAGTGAGCTTTTCTCTCTGTCACTGACCTGGTCTCATGAGTGACCCCCTTCCTTTCCATCTTTCTTCTCACTTTGACAATATGCAGTTGGAGTTATAAAGTATTTCCCCCTGAATAATTGGTATTTATAGGAATTACAGATTTCTTCAGAATATTAAAAAAAAAATTTTTTTTCTGGGTACAAATCTTACTCTGTCACCCAGGCTGGAGTAAATGGCATACTCACAGCCATTGCAGCTTCAACCTGCTGGGTTCAGGAGATCCTTCTGCCTCAGACTTCTAAGTAGCTGGAACTACAGGTGTGTGCCACCACACCTGGCTAATTTTTTGATTTATTGTAGAGATGAGGTCTCGCCAAGTTGCTCAGGCTGGTCTCAAACCCCTGGACTCAGGCAATCTTCTTGCCTTTGCCTTCCAAAGTGCTGGGATTATAGGCGTGAGCCACAGTGCCTGGCTTTTTAACAAGTATATCTTTATTTCTACATTTCTCTTTTCAGGGTTTTACATCAACATTTGTAACTCTTGTTTATAGTAAGAGTTGAGATTTTTAAAAAGTCTTTAAAAAAATATATATTTTGGCCAGATGTGGTGGCTCACACTTATAATCCTAGCACTGTGGGAGGCCCAGGCAGGAGGATTGCTTGAATCTGGGAACCAGGGCCACATGGCAAGACCTTGGCTTTACATTTTTAGAAAAGTTGATATATATATATATATATATCTTAACCTCATCTGTGATAATTGACAAAGCTGAATATTTGTCAGAGCCAAACTCCTGAATGTATTTGCCACTTGCCACTTTGAACAGAGAAAATCATTGTTTCATCAAGAAAAAGGAGGATTGCCGGGCTCGGTGGCTCAGCCTGTAATCCCGCGCCTTTGGGAGGCTGAGGTGAGTGAATTGCCTGAGCCCGCGGGTTCGAGACCCGCCTGGGCAGCGAGACCTCATCTCTACAATAAAAAAAAAAAAAAAAAATCAGCCGGGCGTGGTGGCACGCACCTGTAATTCCGGCTACTCGGAAGGCTGAGGCGGAAGGATCGCCGGAGCCCAGCAGG